CCTCCTCCTCCTCCTCCTCACTCCTCCTCCTCCTTCTCCTCCTCCGGCCCACTGGGGCCTTCGGTGGAGCTCCCTATGGGGCCACGAACCGTGTGAGGGGTGCGCCAGAATGGGGCGGGGCCGCCATGCGAACGCAGCCACTGGGGCCTTCGGTGGAGCTCCCTATGGGGCCACGAACCGTGTGAGGGGTGCGCCAAAATGCGGGGCCGCCATGCGGACACTGCCACTGGGGCCTTCGGTGGAGCTCCCTATGGGGCCACGAACCGTGTGAGGGGTGCGCCAAAATGCGGGGCCGCCATGCGGACCCTGCCACTGGGGCCTTCGGTGGAGCTCCCTATGGGGCCACGGAACGCGCGAAGGATGTGCCGAAACAGAGACACGCGGAGGGCAGAGGCAAGGGGGAGGGAGAAGGGGGAGGGAGGGGGCAGCGGGAGGAAGGAGGAGGAACGCGGGGCACCGTCTCTTCAAAACGAAGACCCAACACCACAGGATGGTTGGGAAAAAAGGATTTGCCACACTTCTGAAATTCGGCGGCACCCCTCACGCAGATCGGCGGGGTCAGGGTGTAAAAACACATGGGATTTGCCACACTTCTGAAATTCGGTGGCACCCCTAACGCAGATCGGCGGGGTCAGGGTCCAAAAACACAGGGGATTTGCCACATTTCTGAAATTCGGTGGCACCCCTCACGCAGAGCGGCGGGGCCAGGATCGAAAACGAACAGGTCCCGACACTGCTTCACGGCGAAGCCAAATCCTCATGACTTCGCTCTTCCATTACCCATTCTCCCAGAGAGGGGGCCGGCGGCAGGGGGCGAAGCCCCTACGGATATAGAAACCTAAACATCCGCCCCCATAATAACAACCCCGACACGCGAAGTCGTTCAGCAAACGCGCCCAAAGAAGGAATCGGACAGGGCAGGGCTGTTTGGTAAACGCCCAGGGCCGTTTAGTAAACGCCAATTGTCCGGTCTGGGTGGTTTTTCCTCCCTCGAGTATATATCCTACGCCTCCTGGGGCCCAGGGGCATCGTTTCTGCAGGCGGTGGTAGGCATCATCTGACCGATCTCCAAAAGCCCCAATGGGCCAGGGCCCCAGGTGGGGATGGGCCCCGCGAAAGCCGACGGGAACAGCATGCGCATATGATCCGGGTTTGCCTCTCCCCCACCAATGCATAATCGAGCCCACCCCAACCCGGTGGACGGGTACGCCCACGACACCCTCCCCCTGTGGGTGCGGGGTGCTTCGTCCTCCTCGTATTCCGTTGTCGTCGTTGTCGTCTTCCGTCGGCGTCGACTTCGGCGTCGTCGTCGTGGTCGTCGTCGTCTTCCGTCGGCTTCGACATCGGCGTCGGCATCGACGTCATCGTCGTCGTCTCCGTCGGAGTCGGCGTCGTCGTCGTCGCCCCATCTGTGGAGGGGAGGGGCCTGTGAACCCCTGAGACCCATCTCGGGGGGAACGAAAGGGGGGGGATAGCAAAGGGTAGGGTAGAGAGTCAGCCCACGTAGCTGATTTTCCCAGCGCCTCCCGGCGCCGGGAGGCGCCCATGTATCGAGGAATGGGCCCGGCCGCGGGGCCGAAACCAGCTGCATGCAGCAGATTTCGTAACCCCCCATTTCTCTATCCCCCCCTCTCGTTCGGCCCGACCAACCCATCTGAGGGGGCTGTGAACCCTCGACCCAAAATCGCATGAACCACCCAGGGGTGTTAGTCGGCCGGTGGGGCCGAGGTCAAATGCTGCTCAGGCGGTCATGCAGAACCTTCGGCCTCGGACGTTTCCTTTCTCTCACGCGCCGCGTGCGTCAAGGCCGCCCTCGACAATGGCGATCTTCTGCCGCTCGCGCGCGTCGAGCCTCATGCGGATCTGCTTGAGGACGTACTCCTCCAGACGCAGGCCACGGATGCGAGGCCAGGATTCGTACTCATCCGTCGCCGCCTCCGGAATCGATGCCCCACGACCCCCAAAGGCGATGAATCTGGATACAGTCGACCCCCCCCCACGGCTCAAAGCTATGAGTCGTGATTCCTGATTGCCCATCGCATCATGTGGAGAGAGTTGGAGGAGGACAAAGAAGGGCAACGTGGGCATCCGACGAGCAAAGCATCAACCCCTTGGAGCCATGCGGGAGCATCGGCATAGAAGGACAGTCACCGGCTAGAACACACAACGCGCATGCCAAAAAAATAACGGTGCCTACCAGGCGTACCAGACTCCGGATTCCCGCGCCTACAAGCCAATTTGCACACCTGGTTACGACACAACTGTACGAAACTTAAAAACACATGTTTGGCCTGTGGATGGAAGCCAGGGTTCTCTTCCCTTTCCTCCTCCTCCTCTTCCTCCTCGTCCTCTTCCTCCTCCTTCTCCTCCTCCTCTTTGCCCTCTGTTACGCGTTTCTACGCCAGATGGGGAAAAGCAGTCTTATGAGTGTTCCCGTCAAGCTTCAGCAAACAACCACAAACAACACATACTCAAAATGTGTGTTGCCAAACCGTTTCCTCAATTATCGGCAACACCTAATGATAGCAGTTTAACTCACATGCTCACAATCGCTTACCTGAGCCATAGAAGTGAATAACAGGTTCCATCTGTTATTCCACATCCCTCTAACACTTCAGTTTCCTCGACAAGCGCAACAAAGGGGGAGGATTTCGGAGGAGCGCGGCTTTCCCAAATTTCAATGCTGGCTTGAGTTGACTGGCTACGCCGTCTATGATATTTGGTAGATGTCTCGAAAGAAAACGACTCTGTTCAAAACCTTTCTTGACATGAACGGGAAGCGCGTGGAATCGGCGAGCTGCGCAAGAGCGTGCAGCAGCATCACGATCAAATGTGTTGTAGGCGAGCCCTCTAATCGTTTAAAGCCTCATGTAGGAGAACAAGGACAACTTTTCGGGTTACGTAGTCATCTCGATGTTCCTGAGGATGTCTGCAGCAAGAGCAAGAGGTCTTACACCAGATCTTTCAACATCCCATTGGTTTGAGGATTTCGCAAGCGAGGGCTCCATTCTTGAAGATCCGAAGATTTGGCGACATACTTCAGCATCTCTGGCTTCCCAAGATGTCTCAGAAGAAAACGCAATGTTTAACTTAAGACGTCGTAGAAACAACTCCACCATCTCCATGGTGTGAGGATGTTTCAGGCGAGACGCTCATTCTCCGAATCCGCTGCGAACTGATAGCAAGACACCTTTCTTGGCAGAAATTAGAAGCGCGTGGAATCGAAGAGTGCGTGCAGCAACAGCACGATCACACGTGTTGTAGGCGAGCTTTCCAATCGTCCGCAAGAGACTACAATGGACACGCGCCCCCCGAGCACCCACAGGCCTGTTTACGCGTCTTCTCATCACGTCTCCGCACTCTTCCAATGTTTCGTCTACCCCTTATCATCAGCATTATCATCATCACCACCATCATCATCACCAACATCACCATCATCATCACCATCATCTGCATGATAATGATGATCATCATCATCACCACCATCATCATCAGCAGCATCGTCACCATCATCATCATCATCATCACCACCATCATCACCATCATCGTCATCATATTCGTCACCAGAATCATCTCCACCCTAAACATGACCACCATCACTGTCGTCATCATCACCACCATCGTCACCAACATCGTCGCCAAGATAAGCGTGTCCATCATGCTATGATATGCTGGAAGGCTCGTGCAAGGGTATTTGTTGGGCCATCTTAGGGTTCCTCCAAGAGCGCCACGAGCAGATGTCATTTGCTCGAATATGTCTCAATCGAGAGCCCATTTTGCGGGCTACCTGAACATCTCGATGTTTCTGAGGATGTCTGCTGCGAGGGCTCCATCCCTCTCCCTCCCTCTCTCTCTCTCTCTTGTTCCCCCTGTCTCTTTCTCTCTCGCTCTCTATCTCCCACTTGCTATATCATCATATGCCTCCCTTGTTCTCCCCTGCCCCCCCTCTTTCACATCTCCTGAGCTCCTCGCAGAGACCAACTTGCAGTGAGATGTTGCCCCTGCGAAGAGGGATCGTAGAGCAGATGATACGAGAGAGCTAAAGGGAACGAGAGAGAGAGATAACATGCTGCAGTACTCTTCTGCAGAGCGGGTAATTGAAGGAAGCGGGGTTGGATGGGGGAACGGAACTCTCTACCCCCCTGCTCCTAGCTAGCGGCGAGAAGAGAGAGAGAGAGAGAGAGATGTGGATGTGAGTAGAGATGATGCGCGTTCTTTTTGAAGATTCCCCAAACGATGCTTGCGCTTAGGGGTTCTTACCTCTGTTCTGAGGAACTGGCCCGTGTCTTCGCTCCGGCGGTTCTGTGGCCGTCTTTGCCGCCCCGTCGCCGCCCGTCGTCTGGTCCGTGTCTTCGGTCTGGCGGCTATGTGGCTGCAGTCGCCGCCCCGTCGCCGCTCATGCATTGCTACACCGTGATAGAATTGCATTGCATTGCGTTGCAGTGCTCGCATTGCTGTGCATTGCATTGACTTGCATTGCTTTGAACTGCACTCCGTTGCTAGCAACGCTTGCAACAACATATTGCGTCGCATTTTGTGCACAACACATATTGTTCTTTGCATTTTTTCCTTTATTTTCGTGCACAAAAACACAGATCGCACAACATAGATGGCCCAACATCGATTGCACAACATCGGTCGCACCACATATATTCCCCTTTCCAAAACAATATTTGGATCTACCCCCCGGACTTACCGCTCCCCTTTTCGTATTGCAATTTACATATGTTTCTGCCACATCGTCCACCCTAAAAATGAGCTCGTACCATCCCAGCCAAACCAGTAACTGCTTCCGCCCCCATCCTTTGCAAAATATACTATGCGCACGAACTCGGCTACCAAACATCATAAACTTCCAAAAGTCCCTTGCAACACTACTGGGACGAACTGCACACTGGCGCATCGTCGTGCGCGCATGCCGAAATCCTTCAACACCTTCGGTGCCGTAAAGACATCAAAATCGAGTGTCCTGGAAAAGAAATAACAAACACATGGGTTCG